ATATTTATAATATTCACATGATCACCAAGCCACACCCACAAATTAGGCCACGCCCACAGAACCAGTTAGTGGTCCCTGGGATCTAAAATTATGAGTTTGGTGGTCCCTGAGGTTCAAAAGGTTGGCGACCCCTGGGCTAGATGACCTCCAAGGTCTCTTCCAACTCTGTTATTCTGTTATCCAGACTTTTTTGGGGCTTCCTAAACCCCAATAGTTAGGCCTGGGGTCAGGGGTGGAATCCGACCGGTGTAACTACTGGTTCGGCGATTTACGATTTGCACGCCTGACAAACACTGTGTGCATGTGTGAATCATCGCTGGACAGCTGAGCAGGGCTGTGCGCAGGTGTGCAGCGGTTGAAAAAGCCCTTTTTTCCTGCTTTTTCAACCGCAGCTGTGCCGTGCAAAGCAGCTGACGTTGAAAAAGCAGGAAATAAAGGTCAGGTAAGAGCCCGGGCGGGCCAAAACAGTAGCAGACACAGAACCGGTTCTATGTCTGGTGCTCTTCAGAGCTACCGGTTCTAAAGAGCTGGACAGAACCGGTAGAATCCCACCCCTGCCTGGGCCATTATGTGGCTTCTTGTTGTTATTATTATTATTAGTATGGTTCATCAACTATCAGCCAGGCTGGATATGGCATCTCTATCAACTCATTTCATCCTTTATAAGGACCTGGGAAAGGCAGATATAGTTGTCCGATGATGTTAAAGGTCTCATTGCTAGATGTCACAACTTCTGAGTCAAGCTGCGTTTTGCAATTGATTATTGGTGAATTTGTCAATGCCAATGGCCTTCAAGCAACGCTCTGGAATGCTTTGGGATTGCACCCGAGGTGCATATTACTATTAGTACCGTAGTATCCTTACTATTATTATTGTTTGCAACAGCACAGTCAGACAGATTTTAAAGACTGGACGTGGCATTTTTATTATACCTATTGGGTCTTTCCCAAGGACCCGGGATAGGCAGGGATGGATGTCCGATGGTGTTAAGAGAGGCCTTGTCACGGGTTGTCAGGTTGTTCCGGATTAAGCTGTCTTTTGGAATTTTGCAACGGATGGTGTATTTGTTCATGCTGATGGTGCTCAAGGAGTATGCCAGTTGTGTTGGGATTACACCCAAGACGCCTATTATTATGGGCACTATTTTTGCTTTGAATTGTTATCTATCTATCTATAAAAGCGAAAGGCCCCTCAGGCATCATCACAAAATCTCCAGAACTGTCAAGCCTACAAACTTGAAATTTGACACATGTATGTTCCTCTTGGCTTTTAGGTGCTCACTAAGAAAGGATTTTTCAAAATGACCATCAGAGCATTAGTATTTCCTATATTATTATTATTATTATTATTATTATTATTATTATTATTATTATTATTATTATTATTATTATTATT